GACCCAAGTATCCTGACCATTATATATATTTTTTTAAATAAGAGTAAAGTTTCTTTTAGGTCTCTAATAAAAAATACAGTTTTCACTTTTATCCCTTAAAAAAAAACCCCTATTAATCCTTTTTTAGGGACTAAATTGAATCTTTATTCATTTTTGAGGGACCACATTTTCAAAGAACTAAAATTGTAGAAGGATCAAAAATTGATTTTTTTTGGAAGGGACGAAAATAAAAATAATATTTTTTACCTTTACTCTAAAAATAATATCTGAACTTACCCTTTTGAGAAACAAAGAAAAAGGAAAAAGATAAAAATATTAAATTACAATGACAAAGATAAAGATAAACTGAAGACAAAATATTAAAAATATCAATTTCTAAAGTCAAATTTCTCTCTCTTTTTTTTAACTATAGAATCAAGTTAATGCTTAACATCTGTTACTGTTAGGGGTATTAACGGGCCGAGCCGAGCTGAGCTTTGATCTTAAAAGGCTAAGTCTATGTTTAAATGCAATGTTATTAAAATCGGCTCGGTCATTGACCTGGTCGAGGTACTGGGTTACTGGTTCAATCAGTGGGTCACTGGTTCAACCGCATAACCCAGTAATTATATTCAATTTTATAATTTATATTAAAAAATTATAAACATACTCAAATATCTAAAAAATGATAAATATTTCAAATATTTTAATATAAAAATAATAAATCACATATTATTATCCAATAAAAGATCAAACAAAAATATAATGATCGTGATACGGGGCTTTAGGTTCAGAAAACGATATCTCTAACTATAGATCTAATCAAAATTTTCTGCAAAGTGCATAATTGAGATAATATTAATGTTGTAGATACATAACTTATATAAGTCAATAAGCAAAAATATATTCAACTATGTTCATTATGATTGTTTTTTGAAAAAAAAAAATTGGAAATTTTTTTTGGGACCGGGCCTGTTCACCGGTTAATCGATCGGGTCACCGATTTTTAATGAAAATCGGTCGGGTCGCACCGGTTCTGATACATGGCCGGTCCGTTGTTTCAACCGGACCGGTTATATGACCGATTTATCGGTTCCCGGGTTAACCCGGCCGGGTCGATCCGATTTTATTAACATTGTTTAAATGTGTCAGCTTGACCAAGCTCGTTACCTGTTATTAGGGGTGTTAACGGGCTGAGCCGAGCTTTAGTCTTAAAAGGCTAAGCCTGTGTTTAAATGTGTCAGCCTGACCAAGCCTGTTACCTGTTATGAATATAATTATCGACATGTGGCCTGTCTTATTTACAAAAAATAAAAGCCTGCTTTAGCCTGTTAGTCGGTTTAAAAAAAAATAAGACAACAAAACTTTACCTAAACACTATATACAATCAACATCACTAGTAATTTCATAAATATTCATAAATTCAATGTATATCCAAACAACATAATATAAAATAAAATCATTCAAAATTATGTTTAACTAATAAAATGAGGTGAAATGGATTGAGGAGACTATTACAAATAGTATAAAAAATATAAAATAAAAATAAAAATTAATATACTAGGCTAGCCTGAGAGGCTCTAAGACCGAGGTTTTGAATTGGAGTATAAGACCTTTTTATTAAACGAGCTTTTATATAAGTCCAAGCTTGGTTCCAACAATCAATTTTAGATATGTCAGCTCAAGCCTTCACGAGCCGAGTCAAAGGCTCCTGTAAGGCCCCTGGTTCGTTTACCACCCCTACCTGTTATAAATATAATTATCGGCATGTGACCTGACTTATTTACAAAAAAATAAAAGCCTGATTTAGCTTGTTAGTCTATTTAAAAAAATAAAATAATAAAAATTTATTCAAACAGAATATACAATCAACAATACTAGTAATTCCATAAATATTTATAAATTCAATGTATATACAAATAATGTAATTTTGAACAAAATTATTCAAAAAGTCTGTTTAACCAATAAAATATGGTGAAATGGATTAAGGAGAAAAGAGAAGGCTATTACAAGTAATATAAAAATATAAAATAAAAATATAATATAATATATTAGACAAATCTGAAAAACTCTAAGACCGAGCTTTTAAATTATAGTCTAAATTTTTTTTATTAAACGAATTTTTATACAAGTTCAAATCTGATTACATGAATCAAAAGTTCCTTTCACATCATATAAACATCAACTTCAAAATTTTTTGCTTTATTATCTTTCTTTAATGATGCATTTCATCCGTTCACAATTCCTGAGATGTCCATTTTTAGACGGTCCCACCAAACAGAAAAGGCAGAGAGGCCCACAAGCCCTCCCATAGCTGTCACGTGCCGAGTGACCCATGTCACGTGACTCCATTGAGGAGTCAAGACAAGAGTCAATAAGACAATGCCAACGCCGTTCTACTTTCTAGTCCATGACAGTAACCTTTCTCCTAGTCATCACACTCATCACAGTACTTTTATTATTACGTGAAAAACAAAAAATCTTTAAAATGTGTTTATATGAGTAAATAAAACTATTTAATTTTGAAAAAATTATTTATTATTTTATATGACACAACTTTATATTACTTTAGATTAAATGACATATTTTTGTGTGTGTATATTTAGTGATTTTTTATATTTTTCCACCTTCATAAAATTAGAAAAAGAGAAAAAGTAAATAATTGAGAAGATAAAAAATTATCAATTATGTATCTAAATGATATCGTTTCTTCTAAAATAACACAAATTATGTTATTTAAATTGACAAATATTTTTTTATTTATTTTTTATATTTATCTTTTCTTATTTTTTTTATTTATTGATGAGAAAAACGATATTAATAGGAAACTTGAATTGTGGAGAAGCACCTTGGAGTTTAAAGGTTTCACGTTAAGTTAGAGCAAGACTGAGTATATGAAGCATGAGTTTTCTCTGCTAGGAGATAGAGATCAAGACTCCGTGCATCTACTTGGTCAAGAGGTACCTAAGAAATATGTTTTTAGATACTTGAGATTTATTTTTGCAAAAAAGTGGTGAGATTGATGAAGATGTAAATCATAGAATCAGAACAGGATGGATGAAATGGAGGAGTGCATCTGGGTTTTTGTGTGACCGCAAAATTCCACTTAAGCTAAAAGGAAAATTCTATAGGACAACAATAAAGCCTGCAATGTTATATGGAGCTGAATGTTGGCTAGCACATAGGCAACAAGAGCACAAAATGGGAGTAACAGAAATGATGATGTTAAGGTGGATGTATGGTTATATGATGATGGATAATATAAGAAATGAAGATATTCGACGAAAGGTAGAAATAGTATTGGTAACGAAAAAGATGAGGGAACATAGATTAAGGTGGTTTGGGCACGTAATGAGACGGCCCTGGATATTCCTATAAGAACAAAAGTTTGCTCCCAAGAGCTCGACACAAAGATAGGTAGAAGTAGAACGAAACTTACGTGAGAAAAGGTAGTTAAACAAGACTTAATGGAGAGGGATATAGATTGGCGGACGATGTGTCTTATGACGGAATGGAGAAAAGCTATAAGCAGGGTGGAAGGTTAAACCCGTTGTTATTCCTATGTTCTAGATGATTCTTTTTTGCCCTTTCCTCTTTAATCCCCCCTCTCTTTGTTTCCCCTTCTTGTCTTTTAGAATAAAGTCTCGTTTGAGCCCCTACCAAAAATATACAGTCTCCACTTTCGTTCCTTACAAAAAAAAATTCATATTAGTCTTTTTTATGGACTAAATTGGGTCTTCATTAAATTTATGAGGGATCACATTTTCAAAGAACTGAAATTGTAGAGAGACAAAAAATTAACTTTTTTTTGTGAGGTACGAAAATAGGAACCATACTTTTTGTTAGGGACCCAACAGAGCTTTACTCTATCTTTTATCTTATTTCCCCCTTCTCCAATTTTTTTTTTTTTTATTTGTATTTGTGTTTTTATCTTATTTTATTATTTATTTATCTATTTTATTTTATTTTTTTATTCTCTCTTATTTATTATTGGATTCATTAATCTTCCATCGATCCCAATTAGATTGGGTTAAAGGCGCTTTTGATATTGATTTTTAGTTTAGTTCAAAACATATCCTAATCATAATCCTTATTGAACTTTTAAAAGGGAAAAACTTTTCTGCATCCGCAGAAGAAATTTTTTATCTCTTACAAAGAGAAAAATGAAGAGAAAGAAATCCATAAAGAGAGAAAATATAGTAACTAATGGAACCCATCCTCTTTTTTATCTCTATGGCAGATAAAAATATTCTGTGGCAGATGCAAAAAATATTTTTCCATTTTAAAATATGTGGAGTTTTACCATCCTATTCACATAAACAAATTTTATATTTTAAGATTTTACATAATAAAATTATGTATATAAAGAACTTTTGACTTCATATAAGATTAAATGGTTTTATTTTTCATCTCAATCATTAATTTTATATATTTGACTGTTGTAATTTGTTTAAAATTTAATTAATTAATAAATATAATTCAATAAAATATCATTATTAAATGCATAGAATTAATATGGTTCATATAAACATTAAACATTAAACATGAGCTCATCAAAATTTATGAATATATATAAAAATAAAGATAAGAACAAAATTTTATACGATAAAATCATATTAAAGCTTAAGATTAGAAGATCTCTATAGTTAAAGTAAATTTTTTAACGTAAGATCATATGTCGTGAAACTTCGTTGAGGAAAACGTACAACGTTATGACATTACCAATGTTAAATGCTGAGCTGGCGAAATTTCCCCATAGGCAAAATAGGAACAGCGACAAAATTTTCCGGGAAAATAAAATAGAAAAAGAGAGAAAACAAAAAACAGTGAGAGATAATTATTGAGGCATATAGAGATATATAAAAAGACAACCAAAACACTCCGTGGGGTCTTGTTATCTCAGACAATAGACAGGCTTTGAAACGTGTTGTGTTATCTTAAAGACTTTTCCAATGTCTCTACTTGGTTCTGATTTTGAAGCTTCATAGATTAGAGAGAGAAAGTTGTGTTGTTGTGTTGGGGTGATTGAGACAAAGGAGATAGGAAGTGGGTTGTAATTTGTAAATGAAAGGGGAAGGGAAAATGAAGTCCAAGATGAAATGGGTTGGTCTTATTGGTCTTGTGCTCTCAGCTTTCTCAATCTTCACACACTTTCTTCTTGCTAGATTCACTGAGGATGTCATTGCTGAGTATCAGTCTTCAATCACAATCTTTTCATGGAGACCCATCTTTGAAAGACCGGATTTTCCCACAAATGTAATAGTATGCTAGCACCAAGAACAAAGATCTTCACTTTTTTTTGACTTGTTTGTTGTTGACCCCTTTTTTTAACTTGGCTCAAAATTCAATCTTTTGAAGTTCAGGTTTTTCTTTTAACTGCTTTGGTAATCCCCATGTGCTGCCTTTGTTCTAGGAGTCTTCATGGGGCAGGAAATTTGGCTTTTTTATTCCACATAATGACAAATATGTTGCATTCAGTGTCATTTTCTGTTTATTGGTTTTTGTCAGATTCAGTGTTTTTTTCTTCTTTTGTTCTTTTTTTTCTTTTTGTTCATTGGCCTGGATCTGTCTGTTGCAACTTGCAACTCTTCAGTGAATATGAATTACAATGAGTTCTGAGCATTTGGAGTAATTAGATAACGAGTATGTGGACTTTGTGTTTGTGTGTGTACTTTTTTTGTTTTGCTCATTTCAAATTCTTAACTGATAACTTGTGTTGCAGAGTCTTTCATATAGAAGACTATGGGGTCCTGTAAGGCGTCTTGAATCTTTGCATCCTGACCCCAATCCTAGAGGATATTATGGTGGTTAGTTTTTCATTTCATCTTGGTGCTAAATGTTCTACTGCTTTAAATTTTAGGAGTTTATCCAATCTCTTTCACATTTATCTGCTGACCAAACTTAAAAACTAAAAAATTTGTTGTCTTTTTTATTGATATTGTTTGCCAAAATGTGAAGCGAAAGTTCAATTCTAATCCCCATAATGAACTGGCAAGGCTATCTGCTGTGAATTTTTGGAAGGACTACAATTTTTATTATCTAGTTTCTTTTATATTATGATAACCAAGTAATTGATTTTGTGGAATAAACTCGTGTCAATATGCACAAAATGTAGCAAATATGAGTGATGCAAATCTTAAATGAATATCTTATGTCATTTATGTTTCATGTTTTACCCTTACTGTATACAATACATGCCACGATTATCAGATTGCATTGCTCAAAAAGATTTCACCATACTGATAAGTGATTCATTGGACCTGTATATATGTGTTTCTAACTGTTCAGTATATGCTTGCAGTCTTGTTTCTTGGTATTTTGGGTCTGGGATTTAGCTTAATTTAAATATCATTTCCTATATTTTCTAACTTTGGAGTATATGTAAAGTTAAGAGGGAAAGTCTGAAGCAGTGATAAAGTTGTTTTTTTGTGACTGAAAGGTTACGGATTCGAATCCGAAAAAAGTCTCTTTGCAATTATGCAAGGATAAGGTTGTACAAGGATTGCCCTCACTCCTACCCTCCTTAGTCAGGGTTTAATGGGGAGTGGTGGAGGATATGTAATATTGAATAATGCCCTTGCAGGAGGGAAAGTAAAACATAAGATTATATAGATTACTATGAATAATTTTATATTTGTGATAGTAAATATGCCTTTCTTACCTCTGACAGATCCCAGTTCACAATCAAATGGGTTTATTTTTGTCCGGATACAGGGTGGTTTTCATGAGATCCGGAATTCGGTGAGGATATCATGCTTCAGCATTAGTATCATTTTGCATCCAAATAATTTTGAGATGAAAGTGTATCTGGTTCTTTCAGATATGTGATGTGGTTGTGGTTTCTCGACTTCTTAATGCTACATTAGCAATTCCTGAGATCCAATCAACAACAAGCAGCAAGGGAATAAGGTTCTTATTCTTCCAAGGAATTACTGAAACTAGTGCTTAACTCAGTCTACTGTGCTTCAAATTGATGTATTTAAACTGTTTCTTTATATAATTATCTTGTACAGCTCTCAATTTAAGAGTTTTGCATACCTATATAACGAGGACCAATTTGTACTGGCACTAGCCAAAGAAGTGAAAGTTGTGAGAACTCTTCCTAAAAATCTTAAAGGAGCAAGGAGAAAGAAGGAGATTCCTTTGTTTAAAGTACCACATTCAGCATCACCATATTATTATTTGCATCATGTTCTCCCTGTATTAAAGAAGCATTCGGTGGTTGAGCTAGTTGTTTCTGATGGTGGATGCTTGCAGGTAAAGATAGCCTCATCTTTTAGATCCATATCCTGTTTAAATCTGAATTTCTCTTTATGTGTTTAGTTGAGGGATATAATTAGAGGCATATTTTTATTTAATTTAGGGATTATATTCTAAACTTCTGAACTAGGTAGCTTATGTGATAAGCTTACTTGTGGACTAGTACAGTAATGTTTGCTATATTGAATGATATACAATTATACGTCATAGATTCCTAATCCATGCTCTCTTCCTCAATCTTTTTCTCTTATTTATCCAGTTATTATATATTCTGCTCTCTGTCTTTCTCAAATACTTTACACAATTTCTCTTTTTCTGCTTATTAATGTCCATTATCAAGTGTTTATCACGGCTCTCCCTGTCCTTTTTAGGCTATTCTTCCTCCTCATTTTGAAGAATATCAAAGGCTTAGATGTCGAGTTGCTTTTCATGCTCTTCGATTCCGGCAGGAAGTCCAAGAGCTTGCTGATAAGATTTTGCAGAGGCAATAGGAACTTTATTTTTTCACCTATCTCTTAAGTTGTTTGTTCTTTTCCTCCTTAGTCTTTTCATCCTACTTTTGGTTTATGTATAGCTTTCGATATCATTATAGGTTAAGAGCTTTTGGTCGCCCATTTATTGCCTATGACCCTGGTATGACAAGAGATGCTTTAGCATACTATGGTTGTGCTGAGCTCTTCCAGGTATATGATTCATTCCTGTAATATATGACTTCTAACTCTGTGACCTTCTCAGCTTTTCATATCTGAGGCATTTCTTTAAATTCTTTGCAAGGATGTACATACTGAACTCATTCAACACAAAAGATCTTGGATGATAAAGCGTGGAACCGTCAGGGGGAAGCTTTCAGTAAACTCAGCTGAAGCAAGACTAAATGGTTCTTGTCCTTTAATGCCAGAAGAGGTAAGAGAACAATATATGCTTTACACTTCAGCCAAGTTGTATTGTTCAGTCTTAATGAATTGGATAGACTTTCCAATGTTTGTTTTTAATAGTTGTTCAAATTTATGTAGTTTATTTTAAATGCAAGGATATGTGTGAAGAAGAAAAGGAACTAACCATGCTGATTATATGATCTATAACTTGGATCCCTTGCAGATTGGTATTCTTCTGCGTGCCTATGGATACTCATGGGACACAATTCTTTATGTGTCCGGGGGAGAAGTCTTTGGTGGCCAAAGGACATTGATTCCACTCCATGCTATGTTTGAAAATGTTGTTGACAGGACTTCTCTGAGCACTCCTTGGGAGCTGAATCGAATCTATGGGCAAGAGGTTAACCTTGTTAATACTCATCTTGGGCCACCACCTTTCATCGAAGAAGAAACAAAAGTTGAAGCTTGGAAGAATGCAGGTCCACGTCCTCGCCCACTTCCTCCACCTCCGGCAAGGCCCAAATCATATAACATTGAGGGTTGGTGGGGTTGGGTAGCTGAAAGTGATAATGAGCCTGATAGTACAGTCATGGAGCTGAGGACCAATGCTCATAAGTTACTGTGGGAGGCTATTGACTATGTGGTTTGTGTTGAAGCCGATGTATTCATTCCTGGATTTGATCGTGATGGGAAGGGACATCCGAATTTCGCTAGCTTGGTGATGGGGCATAGGCTATATCAGTCAGCTTCATTGAAGACATATAGACCTGACAGGTAAATACCTGTATTTGATATATGTGTCTTCATATGTTATTAATGCATTTAAATACAATTTGGGTTCTTGAGAAAATCAACTTGATTCACCTTCATATAGAGTGTTTACTTAATTAGTCAAGATCATTTCTTGGATTGGAAACATTTAGTATTTTAATTACCATCTTAATTCTCAAGTTAGAGATCGAATGCCAGAAAGTTTCAAAGTCTCATTGATTAATTGACTAATTCAGTTGAGTGGGGCAAGACCACAAGGGCGGTGAAGCTCTCTCAATTAAATGTTTAACAAAATTGCATACCCAGGACCCGAACGCAAGAGCCCTGGTTAAGATGGAACAACTCCATGTCAATTGATCTATGTGCTTGGTGGTGTATGTGTTTCCAAATTAAGCCTGAATATATGTTTCTTGTTAAATTTGCCACTAAAAGTCCAAGGCATAGTAAATCAATTTATCAAGTTAACATGAGTCAAAATGTTGGTGATTCATAAGTAAAACACAAGCTTAAGGAATGCTATTTGGAACTTGGTGAGGATTTTGTAATTCTGAGTAATTTGCAATCATACTTTTGTTAATGCAGAAAGGAAGCTGCCAAACTTGTAGACGAGTTTCATGACCACATGTATCAGGCAAATCGTACTTGGCTAAAGTCAGTTCGGAGGCATATGAGAAAAACATTACTTGATGGAATTATAGAAGCATCAAAAAATTCAAAACCATTGTCCTTTCTCTCACATCCAGTCCCTGAATGTTCTTGTTTGAGGCATAAATCCTTAGAGACATCAAAGAATTCTTCAAGTCCTTCATCTTCTCAAGTTTGGGCTGCTCTTGGTCTTGCTCATCAGTGTCCTGCTTGGATGGACACCGGTTCGGTTTCACTAGTAAAAGAAAAGGAAAAGGAAAATGAAGAAGATCTAGATGAGGATGACTCCTTATCATCTGGATTGTTCCCTGGGAAAAATGTTGTAAATCAAGAAGGTGATGGAGAAGCAAACAACAAAGATGAAAATCAATTTGATGATCAAGAAGAGCTTGAGGGCGGGGATCGATGACGTCAACATAACAAGTTGATTTTCCATCTGACGATCGATAATGGACTCACATCCTCTGCTGTTAGGTACATAACCAATTGTTATTGGCTTATTGCATCCAACTTTTACCTAGTGGACTAAATTTTGAGTGAGAGAAACTGCAAAGTCATTTGAATGTGGTTCTGGAACTCAAGTGATTCAGGAACCAATTTTCTAGTCTAGAACCATGTGTGTAACATTTTGTAGTTTTGAGCTCAATTACACAATACAGAATAATATGTTGATCCTACATCAATTTTTATGTAGCCTAGCATGATCTTAGTAGTGAATATAAGGTTTAGTTCAATTTTGATTCCTTTCTAGGATAACTTTCTGGTGCATAGATTGTATTGAACTGATGTAACATTGACAAGAACTTAACTGCATTTTTGTACCTGGTGATAGATGTGATTCACCTATTTTGTTTACAGAGGTAGAATTGACTGTTAGACAAGGATGTGGGATCTTGGAACTTTCTTTGTAACTTGGCACTTGCATTCCATATATTGTTGATGGAATGCAATAGTGTTTACCAGGTACTGCATTCTGTTCAAGACAGCAAAATTGGTATCAAAATATGTGCTATCCATTCATTTGTTGAGTCTTTGATTTTAACACATCAAATTACAAAAAGCCCTTAACAAATCAAACTTAATGGTTTTCTACCATTAATTTAGTTGTGTGATTGAAGAACTTAGTGGGATCCACTAAATTTTGATGGTGGTGGTCTTGTGTGGAGGAAGAATTTTCTTTCTTAAGTAGGAGAAAATAATTTCTCAAATGGGTCACCTGTTGCTGTATAGGATACATGTTCTTATTATGTAAAGCTCAACAAATTAATAATGATATTTAAATGCCATTTTTTATTTGTTTTGAGATAAAAAAATAAAAAAATTTATAATATATTTTACTTTTTATATCATTTTTTGACATAAAGGTGTAATATAAGTATTATGGGATGCAAAAAATCTCCTTTGAGAGAGCTAGTCCTACTATAATATAGATATTTCTGACTCGAATAAGATTGCCTTCCGTGAAAAATACTTATGGTTTATCCAAACAGGTGAACATTTAAGTAATCTATCACGATGATTTATTTTATTTATAAAAATTTCATCATTTTATTACTGAAAAAATAAATAAATTTATTAATTTGTTTTCATTACATGGCACTTTAGATTTTTTAGGAAAAATATTAGTTGGACATTTTCATATCCCTTATCTCTCATGATTTGTTGATTTTATAAAGGGAATGAATCTTAGTAGGTTAAAATTTTATATGACTTGTCATATGAAAATTGTATCTATCTCACTCTTCATAAAATATGGTATAAAACTTGCCTCTTTTTAATTAATCACCAAAAGCAAACTGACTTAGCTACAAAAGTATAAAGAATAAAAACGCAAATGAAACTTACAATATCTTGAGTTTATCTCGTAAGCAACTATAATACCAACTTAAACTTATCCTATACATGAGGTATGTTATCTAGTATCCTTAACTAACATTGATTTATCCTCCAACACTCCATTTATTTATATTTTATGAAAAAAAAGATAGATACAAAATTTTCATATAACTTAAGTCATGTAAAATTTTCATGTAACATTATTTTTTTCTTCATAATGACACAAACTAACAACATATAGTTTAACTTATATAAATACAAACTCATAGTTAGGATTTGGGAAGATGTTTGATTTTGAGCTAAAAGAGAGATAGATGATTATGAGAATATTAATAAGAATAAAATAACACTTTAATTATAATTCTCATAACATTCAATTACTTTTAAATCAATTTCATACGCATATTAACCTTTAATACATAATAAATTAGAGACTCATCACTCATCAGCACCTCACGCAAGAGTGCTGGAGTTTAAACAATATAGAAATCATACTTGGGTCCAATATAGAAAAATAATGTTCCATTTCTTTTTTCTTAAAGGCTCAAACAAGTTTCGGTATCAAAGAAAACTTGCAATCTTTCCACTTCATATTTTTTGTTCACAATCTCACAACATTACAAGAGTATTGAATGTAAAACATCAAGAGGGTACAGCTAAGCTTCACATTGTACGACTAAAGTCAATGCTAAATAGTTTTTTGGGGACAAAGGTTAATGCTCATAATCATACGGTGATATGTAGTCTATATGCATTTAAATATAAGAGACAGATTTAAAACTCACTAAAATTGATCTAGTGGTGGGAGATTTGGGTAATTTACATACACATATGTTAGAATATCCACACATAAGGATTGTGATAGTTGAAAAAAGAAAACAATTGGCAGGACAAAAGTTGTTGATAATAAGCAATATACTTATGCTGTTCTTAAATTTAATATCAAAGGAAGTTTGCCACATCTCTACAATAAAGATTAAGCTTACACAATTTCCTAATAATATCAATCCTACCATCACAATGTTATATCCCTAATAATATTATCCTAAAGCCACTTAATGATATTATTTGGCAAGTGATAAAGGGGTACAATCCGTTAACAAAAAAGAAAAAGAAAAAAGGGATACAATCCATAATCGGTGAACTAATCAATCCCATTTGAATGGTTGTAAAACCCATAATGGAGGTGGCATACGCTTGAAGGAAGGATTGTAAGGGTAATATTTAGCAAAGCTTCGATCCTTTACATTATAGATTCCATTATCAAATGGGCCAAAAGGGTAAGGGTCGTTGTCATAAAAATCATCGGAATAGTAAATAGAATCCTTTCGCAGACAATGGGAGAAATACGAAGCCGACACAGAAATTGAATCACTGTCACCCAGGAACAGAACATTGTCTCCCAAACTGTTGAGTTTTGACATTTGCAAAAGCTTCCCACTTTGGACATCGAGTTCCAACTTATACACTTCGAAACTCTCAGTACCGGTGCTATATGAGGAGCTATCTGGGTGGTGATAACCCAAAAATCTTCTAACCATCAACAAGTTTCCTTCCAATGATTTCACAAGATAGGCCTGTCCGAATAAGTTTGATCACATCCTCCTTGTAAAACAATATTTGGAATTATCGTCTCACTACCATAAGGGTCATTTGAATAACAAAGATTGAAGGACACAATAATATTCCATCTATCCACAGCATATACCAAACCTTTTGTAACATCCTAAGAGCTGGCAAGGGTAGGGAGTGATCGCCGGTGCGAAAGGGAACAGACAATGAGCGGCTCATGCCAAATCTTGCAGCTTGGGGGTTCATGAATGAATCGAATCAACACCCGAAAGAGAGAGATTCCAGAGACTGTGCTGGTATGAAACGATACAGTTAGGAATGACTTATAAAAATTAATTGGTACTACCTATACTAACAAGATGCATCTACTTTTCGGTAGCCCGGATCGGAAGAACTCCACAGTTAAGCGTGCTTGACTTGGAGCAATTCTGGGATGGGTGACCTCCTGGGAAGTTTTCTCGGAAAGTGTGCGAGTGAGGACAAAACACACTGAAAAGTCTCGTGTTAGTGTGTGGGGACAGTCATTGATTCTTGCAAGTGGCCGGGCGTTACAAGTGGTATCAGAGCAGGGCCTCTCTTCCAGTACGGTGTGGTTCGAGGACGAATCAGGCTGAAACTGGTGGGCATGTAACATCCCAAGAGCTGGCAAGGGCAGGGAGTGATCGCCGATGCGAAAGGACACGGACAATGAGCGGCTCATGCCAAATCTTGCAGCTTGGGGGTTCATGAATGAATCGAATCAACACCCGAAAGAGAGGGATTCCAGAGACTGTGCTGGTATGAGACGGTACAGTTAGGAATGACTTATAAGAATTAATTGGTACTACCTATACTAACAAGATGCATCTACTTTTCGGTAGCCCGGATCGAAAGAACTCCACAGTTAAGCGTGCTTGACTTGGAGCAATTCTGGGATGGGTGACCTCTTGGGAAGTTTTCTCGAAAAGTGTGCGAGTGAGGACAAAGCACACTGAAAAGTCTCGTGTTAGTGTGTGAGGACAGTCATTAATTCTTGCAAGTGGTCGGGCGTTACCCCTTTATAGAATGTAATATCAGTGAAACATAAAAAATCTTCGTCAATATAAGTCCAAAACTTTTGGCCTGCTTTTATGAAAGCAAGATTGCAAGCTTGGGTATAAACTGCTGCAACCACATAATCATCTGGGTTGCTTGTGGGATCAACTGACAAAGTAACCTTATGCATATTTTGTTCAAAGAGATACTTATGTGACAATCCAGGATTCAGGGGTGGCAGAGGAATGGGAGCAACATTCTTAAAAGGATTCATTAATGTTATAACATAACAAGAATCTACAGTTGCTAACCAACCGTGGCTTGAACCACAACACCTCTTGCTGTAAGGCACTGGCAATTGAAAGTGGTAAACTTTCTTAGCGGCAATGCCATATAAACTTCTCTTCTTTCTGCTCTTTCTTTCTGTGGGGATCATTAGCATGGGCAGTACTTTACTCTTGAATTCGTTGTTCTGATGGTTTAGCTTTGCAATTGAGTGCCAATTCTTGCACACGGCACTGAACCAAATGTGATCTAATCGTTCTACCAACTTGTCAAGAATCAAACTGAGATGAAGTGCGGGCAAATATGCCCAATCTGGATCCATTGCTGTGAAAGAAGAAAACAAGTTAAGAGAAGAAAACAAGTTACAGGAAGATAATAAAAGTACTACTTCTACAACTAACTTTTATAGAGTAATATGTGCAAATAAACATGAAGGGAAAGTTAAGAAGATAATAAAATAAAAATTATAAAACAATTAAAATTGTGGTTTGTTCATGCAAAAAGGATGGGAGCAATAATTAGTACATGGACTAGAAGAAATGGTATACATAACCTAAAAGCATGTAATTTTAGGAGTCAATACACTATACAATGGTGAATAGATACAATTCAGAGTAAATACTTTTTTTTGTCCTCTGCAAATTTCACGATGCCCGCTTTAGTCCCTAGCAAATAAAAAATCTATTTATGATCCCTAAGAAATTCAAAATAGATCTATTTAATTGAAATCGTGGTCTCTCACAAATTCAAAACAGACTCAAATTAGTTCCTCAAAAGGACTAAAATGTGTCCACTTTGATTTGTTAGGGAGCACGAATAGCCTTTTTATTTGCTAGGGACTAAAACGGGCATCATAAAATTTACTAAGGACCGAAAATGGTATTTACTCTACAATTTAACAAAACATATATGCATTCCTTTCCTTAGAATGAAATTTGCATCAACATAATCCAATTTATTATTATTATAATTAAAATAGTCTAAATTTTGAAATTACAAATGATTATTGACAACGTCTCGTAATTTTATATTGTTTCAAAGCAATTCATTTACTGTTCTATTTTCATCTAAACCGTTCATATTTCAAATAAAAGAAAATATATTTCATCTATACTGTTTTATTATTGAATGTAGAGAAAAACCATAATTCTACTTTAAATTTGTAATTTTTTTATGAGAGATTTTCTTTTTCAACATTCTAAAACTATTTTTTATTTACAAATAAGGTTTGTATTAACAAGTATAGATGTAGAACGGTAACATCAATGGCTTTTTAAATAAATTAATGAGATTCACTTTGTTTATTTCTTAATTTTTTTTTACTAAAAACATGAAAAGCAAAATTCACTTTCAGTTGTATGCCAATCTCCACTAATGTTATGAGTTATTAGTTGCTGCAACAAGTTTAGTCAGATTATAGGATTGAAGTGCTGATAGAGTGAAATCATGTTTGGTCCGTTTCTATAATTGGTCATCTCTCGCATTTGTGTCTTAATACTGCTATGGTTACCTTTGTAGAGTACATACTTCTGTTTACTATTTTTTTTATTTATCAATTCTCATTTTTTTTTTTCTTTGTTAAAAGGAACCACAAACATTTGATATAAAAATAAGAAACGATAAAAATACATTGTTGTAGTCTTTCAAAAAATCATATAATACATTTTTACAAATTATCCCTGCAGGAATGATATCCCTTCACTCATCATATATTACTAGTGACTGTGTATATTTGCACGCGAGTTCTTGGTTTAAAATCCTTATCCACTTGAGAACCGAACATTTATACTTACTACTGTTTATGGGCTTTTTGACCCTTATGCCCCTTAATTAATAATTAATTACCAAATTGCCCCTCATTCAAAACTATTTCGAAAATTTACCCTCCCCAACAAACATAACACCAATCTGCCCCTGTTTGACCGTTGACCACGAAGCCTACCCGGGTACACCATTACCTACCCGGGTAAATTTTGAAACTTTTTATCTACCCGAGTATGTAGGGATGTACCCGGGTAGAGTTCTTGAATCTGGGAAAATGTTTGAATTATTTACCCGGGTACACTGCTACGTACCCGGGTAAATAATTCAAACATTTTCCCAGATTCAAGAACTCTACCCGGGTACACCCCTACATACTCGGGTAGATAAAAAGTTTCAAAATTTACCCGGGTAGATAATGGTGTACCCGGGTAGGCTTCGTGGTCAACGGTCAAACAGGGGCAGATTGGTGTTATGTTTGTTGGGGAGGGTAAATTTTCGAAATAGTTTTGAATGAGGGGCAATTTGGTAATTAATTATTAATTAAGGGGCATAAGGGTCAAAAAGCCACTGTTTATGTGTTACTCCTCTTTTTACCTGATTGATTATCGTTGGATCAATTTGAAATCAATGGCAGTTAATTTTTTTTTTCATTTTTTAACTATTGATTTTAAATTGATCAAATGGTAACCAATCAGGTAATAAGACAAAAATGATAATAAATATAAATTTTCCTATAACGTATAGGACTTTTATACAAGTTCTATAATAAATAAATAAATGGAGATGTTATATTTATTACTAAATAAGTTTGTCACCTCTTACTGGCTACCTTTTTTATAACCATTGGTTGAAATCAAATCAACATATATCATTTGATATAAATTTTATTTCTCTCTTCAACCATTTTCCCCACTCTCTCACTCTTTACTTCCTCTGTTATGTTTGGTTGATCACTATCCAACGATTATAAAAAACATGTGTGGCTTACCAATGATAACCAAAACATGCTCCTTTAATCAAATCGGATGAGTGGAACTAAAATACAATCACGATTGAGGTGAATTATAATATAACTTATTCAGCAAATAATGAAAACATGTGATACTATAATATATATATATAGAGAGAGGTAGGATCATTTGACACCAATGTCAAATTTGAAATTTGACACCTTATCTGAGAGTCATTAGATCAAAAAAAATCAACGACTCTGATTTGTAAGCATGTGATACCATTGATCTTTTTTGATCTAACGACTCTCGAATGAGGTGTCTAATTTTAAATTTGATATTGGTGTCAAAGGATCCTACCTCATATATATATATATATATATATATATATATATATATATATATATATAGTAAACAGTCACTTCTCAAAAGGAGAAAGGAGGTGGATGCCTATTCTCTCACTTATGATTCGGGGGGATACGGCTGAAGCCAGAGAGATTGATCTTCATGCGCACTCAGAGCACGCGGCAGCTCAATGACCACAAAACCTTTTTTCTCCTGCTTTTTATAACTCTCTATAAGGATCCAATTAAAACTTGCTCAAGAAAAAGCATATAGAATGGAAAGCAACTCGCCCCACAGCAAGCGAAACAACAACTGTCTTGCTTTCTCTTGTTTGATCTGTTGGCTCAAAAACTAGCTTAAAAGTTTGATAACTGTCTGTCTTTAATCTGTACCTGGCTTGCCTTAAGGAACATCAAGTGAACTTCTTTCAAACGAACTGGCCAGGAGAAAGGAGAAGGAAGTATTATATTACGAACATGCATTCTCTCAGATGGGTGTATCAATATCTTATCAAAAATAACTCATCTCAGATAGTGTAATGGGTGTGCGAAATTTGCGAAGCGGTTCTATGCACGCTCATTAACTGTGGATTTATCTCAAGTGTCAATGAGATGTTTGCTTAACCCTTACCATCCTTATGGATTGATGGCAATGACAAATATCCTATCAAACGTTTCTCAAGACTTTGTATGTAGGATAGGTGGTTTTGGGTATAGAACCATTTCCAGCCTCCCTCATTGCTTTCGAAGTAGGTGGCGCCTCGCATTGGTAGGCTACTTGCGATGTTTCAGAAGCGGCAATGTTGGAATTATGGCTTGGCCGTGGTAGGCCGCTCAACCTGTACCTAAAAGGGCTCTTGTAGAGTTTCTGCATAGAGAAACGGCACCCTTGGATCTCAAATTGTTCCCTGATTAAGAAAGAATATAGATTAGGATCTAGCCCCCGGGTTACTATGTCCCTCCCAAAAGATTGACGTAGACTGCTGCAGCCTGGATGTAGCATTCACTTTTGGGTCCATTGAAATAAAGATCTCTTAAGGCATCTAAAACCATAGGTAAGTTTTCGGTATCCCCAATCAATCATATCCAATCCTGCTGTCGAAAGCGTCATCTAATCCAGCATCCTCTGGTAAAATCAAATGTTCGACCAATGTGTCGGGTTTATTCTCAGTAGCCATACCGAAAAGGAACCAATGCCAACAATAGAGGAGTTACGGGCGAGCAAGGAAACCCTATGGCTAGGAAGACTACTGCGACCGTGAAGGGAGGGAGGAGCCCGAATTCTCACTGGAGGATATCCTCTGGGTCTTAGTCCAATAGAACTAACGGAATAGAATGAACCGTCTCTTTTAAGTGTTTAACACGGGGCCGAAAGGTTTGACGCACGTTCCTAGCTTTGCCGGAAAAAGTCTGGACCCGCTCAATCAGATAGGACAACCTACTCCTTAGTGGAACCAGACTTTGCCACTATATATATATATATATATATATATATATATATATATATATAGGGAAAAAAGTTTCCGATGTTACTTTAGATAACTTTATCTAATGTTCATCGAAACGACGTCGTTTTGGGGTTGAAAAATTAAAAAATTAGAGTGATAAAAACTATTATAACCCTGAAATAAATTAAAATTACAAAAATACCATGATTTCCGTCCCAAAACGACGTCGTTTTGATGAACATTAGATAAAGTTATCTAAAGTAACATCGGAAAAAACAAACCTATATATATATATGGTAAAATCATTTCTGCAGCCACTTTACGTACAGCAACGACAGATGTATGGTTATGATTCCCCACATTTAATGCTTTCATCCTTTGTATGGTTATGATTTCTCGCATTTAATGCTTTCAAGTATATATATGGAAAGTATTTGATTGCTGCACGTACAGCAGCTGCAGAAATATAAATTCCTATATATATATATATATATATATATATATATATAAATGAGGTGTCAAATTTTAAATTTGACACTGGTGTCAAAGGATCCTACCTCATATATGTGTGTGTGTGTGTATATATATATATATATATATATATATATATATATATATATATATATATATGGGGAAGGATATATTTATCCCCAAAAAAATTTATCACATTTACAACCAACTTAATCACCATAGATTTTCTTCAATCTAACGATTATAATTTATTGGAAATTAATAATTAATTGATAAATACAGTACAATAATCTTTAATAAATTATAACTATTAGATTGATAGAAATCAGCGATGATTAAGTTTGT